GGATATTATTCCTCAAGATCACCTCTTCAGTTGACAGAATCTTGGCCACTGATAAATTTCTATTTTCACTTATCCCATAAGACCTCCCATCAAGTTTCCATAAATTAAAAAAATTTATAGTACTGTCATGACTTAAACAGAAGTTTGATTTACATGGGTTTCAATATATTGTTATAAATGGGGCCCTTCAGAGTATTAACAGACTGTAAGTTACCCCAATCAGGGAACTACAAAGGGCACCCACGACCAATCAGTGGCTAAATTAGGTAAAGGCAAATGACCATTGCTGATCATAACACATGAATCCAGCTAACAATCTCAAGTCTACACCAACATTCAGTAGTAAAATAAGGGGGGAAAAGGGAACATTCTTGACAGAATATGAGCTAATATACAGGGTATTTTAACAGTAATAATTGATTCAAACAAAAATCAACAGATGTTACAAACACTGGTTTTGAAGAATAAGATAGTTTTAATGTGTCTTCCCATAGAATGTCGATCATATAGAAAAACAGAGCAGAGAAATCTGGCAGAAAACATCTTAATTAAATGAAAAAAGTTAACATAATCAGGCTGGCTAGAGATATAGCTGTGTGGTGGAACAGACACACTAAGGAGGCCCTGGTTCCATCTAAAAGTAAGACAGCAAGGTGACTCACACCTGTAGTCCCAGTTGACTCTGAAGGATGAGGCAAAATAAAATGATCACCAAGTGTGAGGCCAGCCTCAGCAATTTAGCCAGGCCCTGTCTCAAAATAACAATAAATAGGTTTAGACATAGCTCAGTGGTAGAGAGCACTCCTGGGTTCAATCCTCAGTATAAACAAATAAATAAATATGTAATTCTAGTGTAGCAGGTAAAGCATGAATGTATAGTCCATGTAAAAACAGGGTAAGGATCTGAGGACACAGCAAAGGACCAGAGGAAGACTCTGGTAACAACTTTTGTACATTAAACATAAATTAATGACTTAAAAAATATTTTAAAAAATAACACAGATTACCAAATCAGACTATCAATAGCATTTACATATTAAAAATAAACTTGCCACATATCCCAGTCAGGTATAAACTTCTATTTCCCTTGTCATAGATTCTACTATTCCAATAAAAATTAATGCTTTAGAAATTCATTGTGGGACTAGGGATGTGGCTCAGTGGGACAGCACTTGCCTAGCTAGCATGCACAAGGTCCTGGGTTCAATCCCTAGCATTGGGAGGGAAAAAAAGGCAGTTCATGGTGCTGTTAACTGTACATATCTGTAATTCCAGCAACTTTAGAGGCTGGGACAGGATGATTCCAAGTCCCAGGCCAGCCTGCTAAATTTAGACCCTGTCTCAAAATTTAAATTTTTTCTTTTTTGCTATTAAGGACTCATGGGTGAGGGTGGGGTATGACAGTGAGTAACTCACCAATCCAAATATCAAGTATCTCTTTGCTCATGATTCAGGACTCTCAAGACTACTCACAGCATCAAAACAAAATACCATCACATTGCCTTGTTGCTTTGCATAGCCAGGGTTTCCTCAACTCACTCTCCCCTCTCTGGACTGCACAAACAAAAACGCCTAATGCCTTAACCTATAGCCTGGACTGTTTCTTTCCACTTCAGGGTAAGCAGAGTCTAAGATGATGATGTATCACCAACCCTGGGGTTTCATTCTTTTTTTAAAAAAATATTTTTAGTGTAGATGGACACAATACCTTTATTTTTTGTAGTGCTGAGGATCAAACACAGCACCTCACATGTTCTAGGCAAGGCTTTACCACTGAGTTATAACCCAGCCCGTTCATTTCCTTTTATACATCAAAATGTACTAATCCCAGGCCTGCCACTGAAGAAATATGAACATTTAAACTGTATCCTTACCTGAAGTAGGAAGTGATTACTATGTAAAACCAGTGAATTTTTTTTTTTTTTTTTTGGTTTCTTCCCTACCTCCACTTCCCAAAATACAGCACATCTGACTACAGGTGTTAGACTGCTACCCACAGCACTGTTACTCCACACAATAAAGATTGAATGACCTTTCTACCTACAGCCCTTTCTATCTACAATTTTATCAGTTATATTAAGTTCAATTTCCTTGACTCTTATACCAATAATAAACAAAGGCATCATGCTTTTTAAAACTTTATTTCAACATAACTATGCTTACAGAAATACACTCACATTGGTTAATAGAATGCAATTTAAGTTTTAACTTATCCTACACAATTTCAACCAAAAACTTGGTACATGGTTTAAGATTTTAAAAAGAATTTGCAATCTGGCTTATTTTTATCTATTACAAATGTATATAAAAGATCCACCATCAAATGCTGCTAAAGAAAGCAGCAAGAACCTTGAGAAATATACCTTTGGTTTGCCTCAGAAAAATAACACGTATTGCACTGTAAAAGTTTATAAAATTGGTGCAACAAAACATTGTTGTTATGTTACAATGCCAGTTCAGAAAGTTCAGTAACTAATGGATGCAGAAGGGGATGGGAGGGTGCCTATGTACACATGTGGTACTGTAAAAGCTATCTGATTTAATTAATATAGTATGTAGATTATAAATCTACACAAACCAAGATTCAGATAATTTCTTAAATCTGAATTAACACTATCAGCTCACTTCATCTGCTGAGGTCAACAATTGAACTTGACACACTGGCTTTAAGTTTTTTTGATATATGCAAAGTAAATTTCCTCCCCCAGCTTTTCAGTCCAGAAGTGACAGTACTACAGGCAAGGTATTCCTTCCATCTTCAACATTCATGGGGTGACATGTGATGAGGTTAACTGGGGTTTTAATTTGTATCAGCATGCAATGCAAACGGCCCCCAGAGTCAATGACCACATGCCGTTATAAGTGACTACTCTAAAAAATAAAATGGCCCTTCTTGGAAGACTAGAGCAAAACATCCAGCTACAGTTATAAGAAGCCTTATCAAAACAATTTTAGCTCCTTATGAATGACACCTCAATAAAAATAAAAGTAGCCCCCGAATAAGAAGCAGCTCTGATAAAGAGGAAAATATAACTTAAATATATTGGAAACCAATGGGAATACAGGTTCAAAAATAATTAGATTTTCATGACTACCTAGGATTAGGCTTATAATGCATTCTAGTACTTCAAGTTTACCACTAGTTACTAAATACCAATTTACAAATAACATGTTTATTGTTCCTTTATCAAAAGAGAAAGTTCTACCTTCAATTCTATTGTGGGGAGGGCACTAGAAAATACAAAGATTCAAACAGTTCCATGCAAATATCACATTTTTCAAATGGAAGAACTCCCAACTGGACCAGAAGTTCCAATTACTAATATATTTTTCATTGAAACAATTTTTAAAAAGTACAAATACATGGCATTAAGGTTCAGGACCTAATATAGGCCTGATAATCAAGTCCTTGTTTTCTGGAAGAAAGGCCTCAAGTCCCAATAAATTTCCAGTAACAATGTTTTACACATCAACTTAATAAGGGGTTTTAATTTCCTTCATATTTTTGTCTTCAGCATTCTAGTCTTAAAGGCTAGATTAGAAATTAGTTCAATTCCCCAGAAGGCAAATTTCTTTCCTTTACAGTATGAAAGAATCCAGAAAGACCTCTTCCCCAAGCAGATTCCCAATCTCTAATCTGTGCTTAAAATGAATCTTTTTCAATATAATGTAAAAGGTAACTTAGGTAAAATGTGCTCATTAACATTAAAAACTAGTTGTTAGGAAGACTTAACTAGCTGTATAATTTAAGGTTTAAAACATAAATATTTGCAGCTTGATCTCCTGCTGACAATGATTGTCGGAGCCTATAATTCAACATTTATAAATTCCCATTCATACACGCCAAACACACCGTTATCACACAACTTACTCATGTCTTGAGAGAATCTTCTTAAAATTCTTTGGCCTCCCAGTCAATTCCAAGTTTGAGCAACTTTTAACTCAAACTTCACTCTCAGATTAACAAGTTTTCCACCCATACATTAATGCTTGTCCTAATCTTTCATGTTGTACTGCCAAAATCTGAAACCTACCTCAAAGAGATAACCAGGTAAAAGAAAATTATCAAAATATTCATGAAGGGGGTTATTTCAAAAATAGAACATGGGAGGCTGGAATTCAAGATTCCCTATTGGGATCACACTTTATTTTACTGAAATGAACTCCTAACGTTAATACAAATCCTATGTTGGATTCTTTCATACTCTCTGGCAAATGGCCAAAGAACCTATAGAACAGTTTTGGAGTACACACCCTTTTTCATACAAAGTGCCCCTATAGGCACATCAGGATAGCTGCAATTCACTTGAGGCCTCACCTGTAGAAGAGGCTGTCATAGGGACAGCCAGGACACCCACTAGTTTGTGGAGATCCCTGAGAAAGTATGATTTTTAAAATCTGGACTGTACTGAAGTTCACCAGCTTTCTTCGCTGTATTCACAGGAAGCTGCAGCTGACTTGCCAGAACTCATGCCATCTCTCATTCTAGATTTGCTGTATAATAGCTATGGCTTTGGAATCTCACAAGTGATGTCCCATACAACTTGAAGGAATGATTGCGTCTCCTAATTCTAGGTTTGCAATTTCCAAATCTCAGTTACAATTCTTTATTCAGCTAAGTAGCCACATGGACACCAACCATTTAAGAGAAAAGGTTCTCCCCAAAGATAACATTACAGTTAAGAAGTAACTGTACCATAACAGGCAAAAAAAAATTAAAAAATAATGTAACTGATGGTTGGTATTTGAGATTAAAATGTGTTTTAAAAATAAAAACCTCTTGGTTTATTTATTGCAAAATCAAGAAAGAGAGCTGTGAATTTACTATATTCTTTCAAAATAAATAACTTAATGTGAAATACAGATTCTGGCATAGGTATAAGATATGAAAATCATAATGAATGGATTGAACCTGCATGTTTCATTTGCTCACAAACTTGCACACACTATTATTCTGCAAAAAAGACAATTGCAGCAAGAAAATAAAAACTGCCCTTTTGCAAACAAGCCTAAAAATATTCCTCTGATGAGGCCAAAATAAACATGCATATATATGTATAAAGTGTTACTGCTCAACACAAATGCTATTTCTAGAAAAATATAACTGCATAGGTTAAAAAAAAACAACAAAAAACAAAAACAATGTGCAACATCTTAAGCCATTAAAGCACCAAAATAAAAAAAAAATTTAAAAAACACCAAAATCACTGTTTTTATGACAATTAACACAAAATATTGATCAAAACTCAGCAAGTAAATACCTGGACTGATACAATGTCCACTGTTGGGCTAATTTTTCTTCAATTTAAATGTCTTTTTTTCATCTCTAAAGAAATCTTAAAGTGCTAACTTTATATAAAGCAGGCAAATTGTTCAAGTAATTTGCTATTAAGCCAATTTTTATAGAGCTAAATAAAAAAGGAAAAGTAAACTAAAGTGATAGAAGACAGACACGGAGGAAAACAATGTCAAGTTGTAAATGGACAAAGCAACAGAATGCTATTATATCATCATGGCCTTCTCATTTCAATTGAACATATAAGCTAAATAGATTTAGGTATCTGCTGTTTTTTTTAGTACACTAAACTCCCTTGGATTTGCTAAAATTTATACAACAATCAACAGGTATATATGAAGTCCTAAGGAAAAGGATGCCTCTTAAAAATCAATACTCGACACTAATTAAAGCAATCTTAAAAGGTTTTTCTACTATTATAAATGAATATAAAAATTAATAGCTCTTACAAACCAAGAACTGGAACCTTGTCCCAATCTTTAATTACTCCTGCCCTTTAGCTGCTTTTTCAAGGAAATACACATTAACCAAATGGCGATTGAGGTGTTTGCTGTAATCTTTTTCTTTCCTAAAAGAACGATCACAGAAGATGCAAACAAAATCTCCCTCAGTCCCTTTGCCTGCCAAGGCTTCTTTTGCATCTTTTGTACTAGCTTCTTGTGGAACTGGACGAGCCCCATGCAATCCAGAATCATCACTACCCTCTGACATGTTGTCACTTAGGTCACTTCCGTCATGACTGTGGATACCTTCATCTTCATCAATTTCCTGAGACTCATTTACTGCCACAGTAACAGGAGGTGAAGCCAGCACAGTTTGGGACACTGCTTCATGTTCGCCTATTGGTGGGGGAAGAAGCAATGGTGAAACTGGTTCTCCAACTGCTGAGTCTTTATCAGGGAGATTCTCTGCTGGGTTATGATCAGTATCCATTTCCACTTCACAAAGCATAGCTGAGTCAGTCTGATGCTTATCAGCTAAAGTTTCACCCCCTGGCATATTCAACTTTTGTCCAGAAGATGAAACACTAGTACTAGATTCCTTGGTACAGGAATCGGCTACACTCTTCTCTGCTTCTTCTGTTCCTACTTTCAGAAAAGGGTCTTCTTTGTTTCCTTCACCTTCTGAGAGTAATTTTTGGTCTTCTGACTCCTCCTCTCTTAAGTCTTCCTTTGGCAGTGGTGTTGATGATGCCAAAAGTTCCTGTGTGCTTTTATTTTCCTTTAGAATCTGGCTATCTTTAACAGGCACTAAGCCTACTTCAATAAGGACTTGCTCCTTACGTGTCATTTCACTCTGCATATTGGACCTTTCCTTTCTGTTATCTTTTCGGGGAGAAGTCTTTTTGGGAATTGGCTCATTGTGAAGAGGAGGATCTATGGGAGGAGACAGCTCCATCTGAGCAGGCTCCTTCTGAACAACTTCCATCTGAACAGACTCCATGTTAACAGGCCCCATCTGAACAGGTTCCATGGGTAGAGGCAACTCTATCTGCAGAGGCCCCTTCTGAACATCCTCTGTAAGAGGAGATTCCATAGGAGAGGGCAGCTCCATCTCAGCAGGCTCCTTCTGAACCTCTTCCATACGAGCAGACTCCACAGGAGGGGGCAGCTCCACGTGAGAAGGCCCCTTGTGAACAACCTCCTCCATGTGGACAGTCTCCATAGGAGGGATCAGCTCCATGTGAGCAGACTCCTGGTGAACCACTTCCACCTGAGCAGGCTGTACTTGAACAAGCCCCTTCTGAACCACCTCCATGTGAGCAGGCTCTACTTGAACAGGCCCCTTCTGAACCACCTCCATGTGAGCAGGCTCTACCTGAACAGGTTCCATGGGTAGAGGCAACTCTATCTGCAGGGGCCCCTTCTGAACATCTTGAACAGGCCCCTTCTGACTAGTCTCCTTTTGAACAGGTTCCTTCTGAGAGGTGTCTTTCTGAGAAGGCTTGCTGCTTTTTTTACTTTGTTTATTTTTTAGGGTTTTCTTCTTTGTATTTTTTTTCACGCAGGTATTTTGTTTTTTATTCTCCTCCACTTTGTTATCACCCTTTGGTACTTCCTGACTATTTTTGGATTTACCTTCTATCTTCCTTTTCTTTTTTGTCATAGATTCCTCATCATTCACAGGATCATGCTTGGAATGGGCTTCAATTTCCATCTTCCTTTTGCTTTTCTTGGCTTTACAGGATTTTTCTGAATTATTTCTTGTATGCACATCCATGTCTTTAGCTTCTGTTGCTGACTTGCGAGTTCTGGTAGTGACCTGAATCATTGAAACATTGCTACAAGGTTTTTTCTCTTTTGAAACATTATCTTTTTTCTCCACTTTTACAGACTTCTCATTTTTCTTTCCAGCTACATCCCCTTTTATTTTCGTTTGCTCTGTTTCTGTTTTTTCATTGGTAGTACTGTTATCAAGTAAGTCAGCCTCTCGCTTTTTGGTTTTCTTTAATTTCACTTTTGACACATCCATTGTTTTATTAGGACAAGTAGGATGCTTAGATTTGAAATGATACTGTAGATTACACTTTTTGGAAGCTGCATAGTCGCATACAGGGCAATTAAACTGCCGTGGGTTCACATGTAGCTCTACATGTTTTTTGAAGTTGCTTCTATCTGCTGTTTTGTAGTCACAGTGGGGGCAATTAAGAGGTTTAGGCCCATTGTGAACCTGTCTTGCATGGCGAGTTACTTCATGTTGATTAGAGGCCACATAACTGCATTGATCACATTTAAATGGCTTCTCACCTAAAGATAAATAAGAGATGTTAGAAGACAGATTAAAACAAATTCAAGATTTAAATATGCTCATAAGAAATTATACATATAAAATAATCACAAACACTATTGAAAAGAATGTATCATGCACCTTGCATTTACTGTATTTATTTGTATAGCTTTTCTCTATCCCTTGACACTGATTCTCAAACCAATAGAGGAATAAATTATCTGTCCACCATCATCTTCAAAAAATGTTCCATAAAGCTGGGCACAATGGCACATGCCTATAATCTCACTGACTTAGAGGCTGAGACAGAAGAATCTTAAGTTCAACTTAAGTGAAGGGCTCAGCACCTTGGTGAGACCCGAGCTGGTGAGGTAGTTCAATGGTTAAGTACCCTGGGTTCAATCCCCAATACCCCACCCCTCAAAAAAGTTCCATAAAGTTAAGGCTCTGAAGCACCATTAAACAACTGAGATTCATCAAGAAATGGAATTACTAGAAAAAACTCAACTGAGGGGTGGATGTTAATTTTGAGGCAATGTCACTCAAGAGAAAATAATTCTAAACTTTTTTGTTAAGGGAAAACAAATGTATACGGAGTCCATTATAAAATCCCCACACATTTCTAAGATATATCTTGGGAGAAATATCTTTTACTCTGGAAAACACTCCCAGTCCCTAAGTACAAAGGTTTTAAAATTCTGCTGTAGCCTAACATAAAGAGGAAAAGGTTTTCTCTTGAAATTTAAACCTTTTGTTCATTACGGCAAGAGCTCAGTAAGTTTTACTCAACATGCTTTCTAATGCCAAAGCTGCTATTTTAAAGTAAAAATATAGCTAAAGTAATTATTCAGAAAACTTCTGTGATTTTTTCCCTCTCTCACCTTTTCTAAAAATGGGCACTTAAAACTAGATACACGAGAAGCCGAGAAGCCGCATACAAATAGATACTGTAACACAAGCAAACAGTCATAATCACAGATACATACAAAACCAGAACCACCCCCATAACCCAAATTAAAGGCATAAGAATAACACATTCTACCTGAATACATACCCATCTAGATCACTTTCTAGTAAATATTATCAAATGGTATCCATACCCCACTGGTCCAATGGAATGCATAGTAGAGAAATGGAAATTAACATTTATGAAAATTCATCTCTCAAACATTCTCAAATTCATATCAATCTTATAAGTTTTTCATAAAGCAAAAATTCAGAAATATAGCAAAACCATGTAGATGTTAAGCTTTCCATGATTAGAAAATTATTATATAATACTAAATGACAAAAACACACTTCTCCAGGTATGTCAGATTAGATATGTCACTAATTAGACAACTCTTTTTAATGTCAGAATAATGTGGTTTCCACAACATGCTACTCTATAGTTGACCCTACAGGGTTGACTCCAATGAATGATCTAAATGGAGACAACATTTCCTTAACATATGTAGATACAGTTAGGTCAGGTGGGGCATGCCTGAAATCCCACCCACTCTGTAATCCCACCCACCCGAATGGCTGATGCAAGAAGATACTGGGTTTGAGGCCAGCCTAGGCAATTTAACAAGACCCCGTCTAAATAATTAAAAAAAAAAATTGCTGGGGATGAATCTCAGTGGTACAGCACTTGCCTAGCTAGCATACATGTCTGGTTCCATCCCCAGGACATCACAAAAGAGGGAAGGGTTGTTTTCTTGGTTTTATTTTGGTACTGGAAATTAAACCAGGGGTACTCTACCAGAGCAACATCCCCAGCCCCCCCTTTTTTTTTAAAAAAAAAAAAAGGTGAAGGGCTGGGGATGTGGCTCAAGCGGTAGCATGCTCGCCTGGCATGCGTGCGGCCCGGGTTCGATCCTCAGCACCACATACAAACAAAGATGCTGTGTCTGCCGAGAACTAAAAAATAAATATTAAAAAATTCTCTCTCTCTCTCTCTCTTTAAAAAAAAAAAAAAAGGTGAAGTGTAGCTCAGTGATGGATCACCCCTGGGTTAAAACCCCTAGTATCACAAAAAAGAAAAGCAAGCAAAATACCAAACATCTGGTAAATTCAAATATATTTGTTTCATGCAAAGATACTAACTCAGTAGGTACACAAGACACCATAAACAGGCAGCAGAAAGCTAATATGGCCTCCTAGGTTAATACTGAAGATTATAATTATAAAATGTAAACTATATAGCCAGATGCAGTGGTACACACCTATAATCCCAGCAGCTCAGGAGGCTGTTTTAGGAGGATCACGAGTTCAAAACCAGCCTGAGCAACTTAATAAGGCCCTAAGCAATTTAGCAAGACCCTTTTCTTAGGCTAAGGTTGTGACTCAGTGGTAGAGTGCTCGCCTAGCATGCATGAGGTACTGAGTTCGATCCTCAGCACCACATAAAAACAAAATAATGTGTCCACCTAAAACAAAAGATACATAAATAAATAAATAAATAAATATTTTTTAAAAAGAGCCTTATCCCAAAAATGGGTTGGGGTGGGGCGTGGTGGCACATTCCTATAATCCCAGTAGCTTAGGAGGCTGAAGCAGGAGGAAGGTGAGTTCAAAGCCAGCCCCAGCAAAAGCCAGGCACTAAGCAACTCAGTGAGACCTCTCTAAATAAAATACAAAATACGGCTGAGGATATAGTGGCTCAGTGACCAAGTGCCCCAAGTTCAATCCCCAGTAAGCCCCTACCCTGCCCAAAATGGGTTGGGGATGTGGCTCAGTGGTTAAGCACCTAAGTTCAATTCCTATACAAAAAATAAATAAATAAAATAAAGTGATCAGCCCTCTATATCTAAAGGTTTTGTATCCATGAATTTAAACAATTCCATATTTAAAGTATATAAGAAAAAGATTATGGGGGGCTGGGGATGTGGCTCAAGCGGTAGCGCGCTCGCCTGGCATGCGTGCAGCCCAGGTTCGATCCTCAGCACCGCATACAAACAAAGATGTTGTGTCCGCAGAAAACTAAAAAATAAGTAAATATAAAATTAAAAAAAAAGAAAAAGATTATGTATTTACTGAGTAGGTAGACTTTTTCCTGTCATTATTTCCTAAACAATAAAATATACTATCAATTTTAAAAAGACACCATAAACATTTAATTTTTTATACAAAAAGGACACAAGTGTCATCATCCTAACCCTGACCCTTCATCACAATGGGTCCACTAGATGTGGCTACAGATTAAACACATCCCAAGGTAGATATCAAGCATTTAATTTTCAATTTACAAGTAATACAAAGAAGCTGAACGCAGTGATAGACGATGCCCCTGTAATCCCAGGAACTTCAGAACCTAAGGAAAGAGGATTGCAATTTTGAGGCCAGCCTCAGCAACTTAAAGAGACTCTGTCTCAAAAATTGAAAAGGGGTGGGGATGCAGCTCACTGGTAGAGGGATTTTAAGTTAAAAAAAAAAAAAAAAAAAAAAAGAGGGACAGAAGAAAAGCAAAATGACATCATGAGAAAGCAATCAGACATCTAGAAGGGAAGACATTCCACAGGAAAAATGGCCATATTTCTTCAATGCCTTAATATTGCCTTCTATAAGATGAGAACAGTAGAACTTTACAACATAATAATATTTATAAAGCTAAGATGAATTAACCTATATAAAGCACTTAAACATTTTATGTGTTGGCTAGAGTACAGTTATCCACATGACACAATGTCTACCATTAACCAAGCCTGATATTAAATCCAAGTTACCCTTGGAGAATGAAGTCAGGAAGTGTTCAGAAGTAATAAAACAAAAATTTTGATTAAGGGGCACAACCCGATAGCTCAGATTTAGAACTCAGATGTAGGGGTACATGCTTGTAATCCCAGCTATTTGGGAGGCTGAAGGGGGCCAATCATGACAATGTGGCAAGACTCTGCCTCAAAATAAAAAATAAAACAGACTAGGGTTGTAGGTCAGTGGTAAAGCATTCCTGACTTCATCCCCCAGTACTACAACAACAACAAAAAACAAAAAATCCTCCTAGAAAAATAAGCATATAGAAAAAATATATATATATATTCAGTTTCAGGAGTCCCACCCACAGAATCCAGATTAACAATCCCCATTTAAAGCCAGACACAGTGGTGCATGCCTGTAATCCCAGCAATTTGGGAGGCTGAGGCAGGAGGATCTCAAGTTCAAGAGCAGCCTCAAAAACTTAGCAAGACCCTGACTCAAAATAAAAAAATAAAAAGGGCTGGAGATGTAGCTCACTAATAAAAAAGCACCCCTGGATTCAATCCACAGACTAAAAATTAAGCAAATAAGCAAGCAAGCTGGGCATAGTGAAAAAAAAACCTACAATCCCAGAGACTCAGGAGGGTGAGTCAGGAGGACCCTAGAGGATCACAAGTTTTGAGGCCAGCCTGGGCAACTTTTGATACCGTCTCAAAATAAATAAAGCTGGGCATGGTGGTGCCTATAGCTTCAGAGGTTAACACAGGGGATTGTAAGTTTGAGGTAAGCCTCAGCAACTTAGCAAAACCCTGTCTAAAAATTTAAAAAAAGGGCTGGGGATGTACTGTAGCTCAATGCAAAGCACCCCTAGGATCAATTCCCAATACTAAAAATGATAATAAAAAGAACTTCTTTATAATAGTACTTTCTAACAAAAATAACATCAGCTTACTGAAAATGGTGGGAAAGTTCCCATTTTCTACCAACCTGAATGAGTACGCATATGTCTAGTTAGATGAGTCTTCTGAGAACTTGAATAAGGACAAAGTTCACATTTATATGGGCGTTCTCCTGCAAAACAATAACGAACAGTTTTTAAATATAACAAAATAAGTCAAATACATTGTCACTAACAATGTAACAATATTCACTACTGACCACTATATAATAAAGACTTTTTTCCTCTTATTTCTAGCAGAACCTCAACTTATCAAACATCAGAAATATAAATGGTTCATTTTAGAATTTACTATATATATATATATATATATATATATATTTTAACTTTGCTGACAAACAATACTGTTGGCTTTCTGAATTCTTATAGCCCTTTGCAATTTTTAGTGAATATATATATCCCACCCCCCATACCACTGAGTCACATCCCCAGCCCTTTTTGTCTTATTTTGAGACAGAGTCTTGCTAAATTGCTGAGGCTGGCCTCAAAATTCCAATATACTCCTGTCTCGGTCTCCTAAATCACTGGGATTACAGGTATGAGCCACCACACCTGGCACAATGTCAAATATTATTACATTAAAAATTAAACTATTATCTGGCTAATGTATCAAGAAATATTTAACAAGAATTATTCTTCTGCCAGGTATGGTGGCACACACCTATAATCCCAGCAACTACAGAGGCTGAGGCAGGAGGACTGCAGGTGCAAGGCCAGCCTCAGCAACTTAGTGAGGCCCTAAGCAATTCATTGAGATCCTGTTTCAATATAGAAAATAAAGAGGGGTGGGGATGTGGCTCAATAGTTGAGTGCCCCTGGGTTCAATAGCATGGTGGCGCATGTCTGAAATCCGAGAGTCTCAGGAGGCTGGTGAAGGAGGATAGTAAGTTCAAGGTAACCTCAGCAACTCAAAGAGAACCTGCCCCCCAAAATAAATAAATAAATAAATAGATAGATAGATAGCTGGGAGTGTAGCTTGGTGGTAGAGCAAATACATTGTCATTAACAATGTAACAATATTCACTACTGACCACTATATAACAAAGACTTTTTTCCTCCTCTTTTCTAGCAATTGAACCTAGGGTTCATTTCCCAGCACCAAAAACAAAAAGAAAAAAATTCTACTCAAATATTCTGATGCTACTAGTTGGGTACTTTTTCTGATCCTTATAAATGATGAATCTACCATTTGAAATCACTGGCTTAAAAAAATAATATTTAAGTGAGGATGAGCTTGCTTTAAACTAAAAATGCATGTGGTGATCGTTACATTTATAACACAGCTATGTCACCAATTCTGAAAGAAATTATAAAGTCTGAGAACTGAAGTTAAGAGCCCAGTGACTTATTATTAAAGAACTTAATACTTGCTGGGTGCAGTGGCACACACCTGTAATCCCACAATTTGGGAGGCTGATGCAGGAGGATCACAAATTCCAGGCCAGCCTCAGCAACTTAGCAAGCCCTAAAGCAACATAGTGAGACTTTATCCCAAAACAACAGCCAAAAAACCCCCACAACAATGGGCTGGGGATATGGCTCAGTGGTTACACACTCTTGCATTCAATCCCCAGTACCAATAATAATAGTAATTTAATACTCCCTGCACATGGTGGCCCATGCCTGTAATCCCAGCTATTCAGAGGACTAAGGCAGAATGACTGAGTCAAGTCTAGCCTTGAGCAACTTAGTGAGAGCCCACCTCAAAATAAAATAAAGTGGGCTGGGATTGCAGATCAGAGGTAGAGAATTACCTAACATGTGCAAGGCCTTGCGATCAATCCGCAACACAGGGAGGAGGGTGGGGAATGTGGGCTATTCAGGGCAGTGGCCCACACCTGTGATCCCAGTGTTTCAGGAGGCTAAGGTACAAGGATCTCAAGTTTGAGACCAGCCTCAGCAATGTAATGAAACCCTGGGCAATTTAGCAATACCCAGCCTTAAAATAATTAGGACTGGGAATATAGCTTAGTGATAAAAATGTGCCTGGATTCAATCCCCAGTATAAAGAAAAATTGTTTTCATTTTTAGCCTCAGGATAATAATTATAATCTTAGGCAAATTACTTAGGAGCCCAATTTCCAGTTTCCTCATCTATAAAAATATCAGAAGCTTCATTCCCATTATAGTGGTGTTTTTTGATTGTTTCTTTGCATTCTTGGGGATTGAACCTAGGGGCACTCCACCACTGGGCTGCATCGCCAGCCCTTCCTAGGCAGGTTCTCACTAAATTGCTGAGGCTGGCCTAAAACTTGTGAGCGATCCTCTTGCCTCAGCATCCCAAGTTCCTGGGATTACATGTACCAACCAGCAAAGCTATTTTGAGAATTTGGATATTACATGTAAAGCATTTAACACTGTACTTCGCACATGTGAAGCCCTAAATAACTATCCGTTATTGAGCCTGTGAGGCACAGTTCAGTGTTTGAGTACTTCCTTAGTATGCAGAGGCCCTGGGTTCCATCCCCAGAATGGGGGGAGGGGGATATCAGTTATTAACTTTGCCTACACAACAAAAACAGGTCAAGGAAAAGATGGCATGAAACTAAAAATGGAAATGGTCAAAAAACATGTTCCTAGTGACCATTCCATTGTAATTAGCTGGTAGGCTGGAGAATACATGGGTGGATGCTTAAGAGGGGTGGGTGGACTGACTACTGCAGAGATGATGAACAGAACCTTTGGTTATCAATCCACAATGGTTCATTATCAATGCCCCTGGGGTACTTGTCTACCTAAATGAGATGGCTAGAACTCTCATCTGAAGGAAAGAAGCAATGCCCACTTCATCCTAATGAGTTTCTCATTTGCACTGGAGCTCCTAATCCCTTCCAGCGCTTCCCAATCCCCTGGATTCTCTTTGCTCCTTTACTTCTATAAGCAATACATATTCACTTATTGATCATCCACTCAATAAACAGGCCAGAAGCCACAGGTCATGGGCGCTTTTGCCTGTGTGCATGGGGGGGCCTGTGTGCATTTTCAGATATGGAAACCGAAGCTCAGAAACAAGCAAGCAGCCTATATGCCGCACAGATGGACTCACTATTTTCCCTAAGCCCAAAATGGGCCGAGGACCATCAGGCTTCCACACCTAAGCTGTGCTGCAAAATGCCAGGCCCCCACATGGAGGACCCCATAAGGTGGAAACAGTCATCTCTCGCCAGAACTTCCCATCAAGGTCTCCACAACTGACTACCCCACACCCCATCCCCCTACAGCTCTTGATTCCAGGGAAGAATTAAGACAGTTTAAAGAATGTTAATGTATTTCTACATAGATATATAAATAGCCAAAGCATGTGAAGAAATGCATATCATCAATATAAAAGATAGATATCCAAGTGCAATGGCACATACCTATAACCCCAGCAACCAAGGAGGCTGAGGCAGGAGGAGCACACGTTAGAGGCCAGCCTCTGCTACCTAGCCAGGCCCTGGCCCTTGGCATGTTACTAAGACCCTGTCTCAAAATAAAAAAATAAAAAGGGCTGTGGATATGGCTCTGTGGTAAAGTGCCGCTAGGTTAAATCCCCAACGCCAAAAACAAATGAAAAAAAAAAAAATCGCAAAAATGAAGATTTCATTCTTACAAGAATAGGTTATAACCAGAAATACAAAAATTTGGGTTTTCCCCCCCCCCCCCCCCGATAGTACCAGGGATAGAACTCAGGGGAGCTCTATTGTGGAGCTACATCCTTAGTTCTTTTTTTTTTTTTTTTAACAGATACATTTTCTTTATACCTTTTATTTATTTATTTATTTTTATGTGCTGCTGAGGATTGAACCCAGTGCCTCAACATACTAGGCAAGCGCTCTACACCAAGATATAATCCCAGCCCCTGGTTTTTTTTCCCCTTTTTGATAAAATAGGGTTTCCTTTAAAAAACTGTCCAGACTGGCCTAGAAATTGTGATCCTCCTGCCTCAGTCTCCTGAGTTGCTGGGATTAGGAGTACACCACCAAACCTAGGTTAACATTACTGGAGAGTTTTAGGATATAGAGAAATTGGAGATCTCATTCACTGCAAGGCCATTTTGGAAAACAGCTTGGCAGTTCCTGAAAGGTTAAATGCCAACAAAAACAAATGCCATGTACTCTTATAATAAACAGGCTGGGAATGTAACTCAGTGGTACAGCATAAGCTAAGAATGTGCATGCTAAGACTATTCCTCTCCAGTACTGTTTAAAAAAAAAAAAAAAATTAAAAATAGTCGAGAGCTATGTTGCACACCTATAATCCCAGCACTCCAGAGGCTGAGGCAGGAAGATTCCAGTTGGAGGTCAACCTGGGCAACTTTAAAAAGGGATGGGGATATAGCTTAGTGGCAAAGCATCCTTGGGTTCAATCCTCAGTACCAAAGTGTAGTAGTAGTAGTAGTAATAATACAGACAATAGAGCTGTGAAGTAGCTTTGCGACACATGCATTGGCCACAGGTTCAATTCCCTATAATGATTTTTTGAAAAAAGAAAAAAGATTTAAAAGTAAATTATTATCCTCAAGTGATCTTTCATGTTAATCTATAAATATGTTTTCTTTTTCTGTTACCTTTGTTTTGAATTACATGTTTTTTTAAATATTTACATCCCAAACAGTTCCCTAAATTACTGAGGTTGGCCTCAAATTTGCAATACTCCCCTGCCAAGAGGCTGGGATTATAAACTTGCACCACCCCACCCCCAGCTTTTTTTTTTTCCTACTGGGCACTGAACCTAGGGGCACTTTACCACAGAGCTACAGCACCAGCCCCCCTCACTTTTTTGGGGTGATAGGGTCTTGCTAAATTGCCCAGGCTGGCCTTGTATTTGCAATGCTCCTGGCTTCAAGCCTCCCAAATCACTAGTACTTTTAAGTCATTTCTTTTTTTTTTTTTTTTTTTGTGGTGCTGGGGATTGAACCCAGGGCCTTGTGCGTGTGAGGCAAGCACTCTACCAACTGAGCTATATCCCCAGCCCCTAAGTCATTTCTAATATAGAAGAATATGGAAAATGTACAATTGCACAAACTAAACATAACGCTTCTAGAGCTAGGCATGGTGGGACATACCTATAATCCCAGTGAACCCAAAGCAAGGCTGAGGCAGGAGGATTTCTAGTTTGCAGTCAGACTCAG